GGCGGGGGCCGGTGCGTCCCGGTCCCGGTCCCGATCCCGATCCCAGGGGATTGTGTCTCTTCCGTCCCGCCGCGGAGCGGAGGGGGCCGTTACCGGGGTTTTCCCCCGCGGTGCCCGGGATGAGGGACGGCTTTGGCTGCGTGCTGTCGCAAAGGGGGAAGCGGGGAAAGTCGTGACTATCGCGCCCCGAGCGCGGGGCTTCGTCCCCTTTGTTGTTGCTGCCCTGCAAGTCTCTTGTGGCGGGGGGTGTGCCTTTATGGCCAAGAGGGAAAAAGTAGCTGTTGGGTTTGTCGTTTTCCTTGTTGGATGCGCGCGGAATTCCTTCCTCCGTTCTTCTTTTCTCCGTATACTTAGTGAAGGACTTCGTTGTTGTTCCTGTAAAATTCACACTTGTAATCTACGTTACTTGCGGATAGCAAAATTAAGGTGAAGAGCTGCGATTGCTTCAGAACTGTTACAGTGCAGTTCCATTAATTTCCCGTTCCAGCTCCCGAGGCCTGAGGTGGGGCTGTGCGCGCCCCGGCGGCGTCGCCGGAGGAGCCGGTGGTTGTCTCCGGTGCAGCGCTCGTGGAGCAGTTGCGGACGACTTGGAGACAGCGGTCGCGGGGGGGTTGTTTTTAAATAGAGCTCCGATGGTTATATAGGGGAGAAATCGGGGCGCTCGCACGTAAAACTGAACAAAACCCAACTGCCAAATTAAAATCAGGGATATTGCAATACATTTGAAGTGTTGACTTTATGAAATTGGGCTCTGTCGGGGAATGTGCTCAAACTCCTGGGGTTTTGGGTCTTCAAAGGCAGTTTGTGTGCCATGGTTTTAGGAAAGGCAGCGGTGAGAGCTGGCGTGTCGAGCAGTGTGTCTGTAGCTCCGTCATCTTTCTGATGGTGGTGGCGTTGTCTGTCTCCCTGCGTACCCAGCTGCAGGGAAAACGTAGCGGATGAATAATTGATGAGGAACAAAGTGCTGCTTAAGTAGGCGCAATGCCCTTCTCCCTGCGTGGGAAGAGCAGCGGGCTGGATTGCCCCCAGACAGCTGCAAAGCAAAGGCTGTCCCACCTCTTGGCTGGAGCCGTTTCTGTGCCTGTTCTCCCCATCGTGATCAGTCCCAGCGCTTAACCCCTCCCTCCTTTCTCATCAAACACTGAAAGAGGGGATCATAAATCCCAAGAGCCCTCGATTCCATTTCTCTCTCTCTTAAGAGAGAAATGAAGTTTAGATTATGTACCCTTTTCGGTCCATCCTTTTCCAACCTGATTTTGTAACAGTTTCTTTGCTTGGCAGTCCTCTCTATCTCCAGCCCTTAGGCTTGTCACCCTGCTCACCCTTCTTACCCCCCTTAGCCTCGCTCTCCCTTTCTGGGCTCCTGACGGCCGGTTCTTCACTTCTTCAAAGAGAGGCAGTGAGATAAAAAATTTCAGTAACTCAAACAGCGTCTTTGTGTAAGGAGGTGCTAACTTTAACAATAGGCGTTAGTTTGCCATATATAGAACTGAGAATCAACTGAAGCGATGTATAAGGAGCACAACAGATACGGAGCTGTAGTCGACCCTATTGTGGAACAGAAAAGTACAAGTGACAGCAGGGATGGTTTTAGTATCTAAACATCTTGTAAGGGAGGAGGCAAGTACAATGTTTGCGTTCAATACCTACCTGCTGCTGAAAAAAATACTTTTGTTTATTTTTAGTTGTTTATTTTGTTAGTATTCTGTGCATTGAAATTCCCCCTGAAACAGAGTGGTGTTAAAGCAATCAAAAGTGTGACTCATTGGCATGGCAGCATGCATTTTGTACCTCTTTTTGTCAATTTAACTTAATTTGTCCCAGTCTTCCGGAACTACTCATAAAGCAAGGTAGAACTCACGAGGCTGTATGCATAAGGGAGTTGCAGTGCTCCTTTTCCACGGTAGGTACTGTAGCGTATGAATATGTCTGTAAGGCACATGAAAATGCACAAAGTTAAAGACCCATTCCTTCTCCGTGGAGGCGTCTCTTTTCATTGGGCTTCAGCTGTTGTAAGCTTTATCTAATGGGTGTAAGTAAGGGCATAACTAATGTACTCTTTCTTTTCAATTCCTTCTTACAGCTCAACATACTGCCATCCTTTGGTTTTCTTTTTG